CGTGAGGGACGCTATATAAATGCAAGTTGTTGTTGTAGTTGTTTTCTCTTTTGTCTTTGGTCAGTCCCTAGAAGCATGAAAATGCACATAAATAGCCCGTCCATTCATTCTATTTAATTTCTCTCCAAAAACAATTTGCCTTTCGCAAACACCAGAAATAATCCAATATCACGGAAATTAAAATTATTTTGGGTGCAACTTAGAACAACCTTCCTGTGCATCCCAGCCCACATTAAACTATTTTCTAATCCTAACCCTAATTCATTCTCGCTTTCACCAAATTCCCGAATTTCAAAGTACCAAATTTCCAAGTAAATGTTTGCCATTTTGTGAGAAGGACATTCATTTGCTCTGGGGGAGATGATCAGCAGCCTTTGAACATCTGCTGTTGGTGCTTTGTACTGCTCATTAATCAAAATGGTACATATGGATGTGGGAGAACTGTGCATTGGCACAGAAACAGAGTATGTATATGATTGCACAAAGAGAAAGTTCCCAGTCTCCGCAAGGCTGTCGCAGAGCTTCAAGCTGAGTCAAAGTGCTTTCCTATAGATTAGGAAGGATTTGCACTAATTTGGTTTGTAATAGTACCTGCTACAAGAACAAATTAAACGGTTTCCAGACAAGGCTGCTGCCCACTAATGTAAGTAATAGTGAAGCAGTTTTGCATGTCTGCAATGATCTTCCATACGTATTGGGCAAAGGAACAGGCACCGGGAAAGGCAATAGTCCTCTGTGCTAGGCAGCTTTTAAATGACTGCAAATCCTGGTATTGTGCATTATTATGAACAGTGATTTTTTTAATATAGTAATATGGTTTGCAGCCTGTTTTACAGAACAACTTTAAGAAGCAATTCTGCAGTTTTTAGGTTGGGAGAATAAGTACAATTTGCAGTGGATGAAAATAAATATTAATGTAGGAGCACTTGCAGTTGGTAAGAAACAGGAGATTTATTTATAGAATGGGCTTATGTCATGACCTGTTCAGTCAAGGCATTGATAGTTTATCCTGTCCAGCAATCCTCCAGATTAATTGACCATTCAACTCATGCTTTTTGTGGGACCTTACTTGTGTGCAAAATGGCTCCCGCGTTTAAGTGAGAAAAAGAACAATCACTACACTTAACAATGATTACTGTAAAATGCTTTCAAACATATAAAGTGCTTGTAAAAATGTGCTTTGCTGTACAGAAAGGAATTTAACATACACAGACTGCTGGATCTGCATGTACGCAACTTGTAGAAAACACTTTGAAATTCATTTTGGCAACTAAATATGACACAAAGAGTGATTGTGTATTAAATGTAAATTACATGGAGTCTGGATGTCAGGAACGAATCTGCTCTCATGAATTCTTGAGCTGTGACTCAAGTCTCTTACTTTGCCTGCCCGTTTCACAATCCAGGAAAAATGACCCCAACTTGAAGTGTCACTCAGAAAGTAATGGTACATCCGTCAACAAAATTGGCTGAAGTGAAAGTCGTGCTGTTGAGCTCCTGTTTTAAAAGACAGCTTAAAGCTGAAATCAATTGTTGCAACAGCCGGTTGTGCTTGTTTCCTCGAGTCTTCTTAAATTGCATCACCGTCTTCCCAAATCGCTGCAAAAGATGCTGTTCAGAAATGTGTGATAGCAACAGAGAATAAATAATAATGGCTGTGCTTTTCTCTACCCTCCTGTGGGGTCACACTGGCTTCCTCTCTGATGGGAGAAATTCCAGGAACCAAGAGACTGCCAAACACCAACATACCCAAAGACAAGGCTAACACACATATAGCATGAGGGGGAAGGTTAGTGCTTCTGTTGTTAATATAGATATATGACAGATTTCACAGGTGGGCAAGTCCTTGGCTTTGAGTGGGACACAGATACAGGGGATGGAGGAGAATTTGTCCATTCCAGCAATCTTGTCTGTGCGGAGTGTGAACGTGTGCTGTTATGTCCGCGTTAATCCTCATGGAAAATTCAGCAGGGGATCATTTCACATACTTCAGTCTTTATAAATCATTACCGAGGATAGTTTGAGTTTCTCCCTTGTTCCAGTGTATATTCCATCATAGCTTCCGCTGGACTGAGGGAAGGCACATCCACCATTCCCCCACCCCCCCCCACCCCACCGTGGCTCCCTTGCTACTTGCTGCGATGGCTGCCCATCTTGATTGCCAGTGAACCTGCTCTTACTTGTACAGAAAGATTAAGCTGCAGGATGCAGCAGCCTGAGATCGTAGAGGTGTTTGAGGCGAACAGAACTGTTTCAAACACAATCTGCCTCCCCCAAGGGTTAACGTGCTTGTAGGGTTGGCCAATATAAAGTGGCATTCTGGATTATAGGTGTGATTTCCAACTGATACACTCTCTCTGTGGAGTCAGAACAGGATCAGGGATGTGTGTCTGTGTATATATATATATATATATATCTACATATGCATTTCCCATCAAATGATTCCAAACTTACTGAAGGAAAGTCTGAAGTCACTCTTCAGATTCTGGTGTTTGGACTAAAGCATCCAGTGCCACTCCTAACAAATCCAGGAACAAAAGATAAGGTGTTGTTTCGGTCACTCTCTGTAAAAAAGCTGTTTTCAGATTGGCAACTTTCTTCAAAAATGTCTTTTCCCTGTAATTTCCTAGTGCACATTTTTACTTTCCTTTAGTTATAATAATAATAATCCTTGCATTTTGATATTGCGCTTTTCATGTCTTCACAACGTCGCAAAGCGCTTCACAGAATAGACTGTAAAGTGAATTGACTGTATTTTTGTGGGCGAAATTAAGCTCTTCTTTTAACCGTTCCATTGTCAAAATCGCACACGAATTAAAGGAACTTTAGAGTTGTATAGTCTGTTTATCACTTGGGCTACTAAATGTCCTAAACTCATCTGTCTTATGGACATTTTAAAAGCAAGCGAGCTAAATTGGGATACGCCATTGGAACAAGACTATTGCTGTCTGAGCACAGTGCAGATATGATGGTACTGGTGTGTACATCTGTATTAAATTTATGGATGTTTAAATAAGGAACTTGCTCCTCATTATTTTTTTTCTAAACTGAGACATTTTTGTTTCATCTAAGAACTGACAGAATGTTAGCACTATGTGTCCCAGCTGTAAAAAGCACTGGTCTTAATGCAGATAAAAAGTACAGAGTGAAGGACAGAAGCCAGTGATTAAATAAGAGCAATTAGGATTTTTCTTCAAAAAGAAGCCTACAGAATTTTGATCTTTGTCAAAAAGGCACTATTGCCACCTTACAGACTGTATGGCAGTGATTAGAGGAATAATAACATTCTTATGTTTAATATAATGCCTATAACATTGTATATTGTATAAAATATCGCAAAGGCTTCATAATGTTTCCGTGTAGTGTAGTAACTGTGTTTTCGTAAATGAATATGCAGGCAACAGTGCATGCAACTGGAGGATTATTGACCAGGACAGCAAGATAAAATCCCATTCTCTTTTTGAACAGTACCATAGGATCTTTTAACGTTCACCTGAACCAGGCAGGTGAGTCCTCCATTTAACATTTCATCCAAGGATGGCACATCTGACAGTGCAATGCTCCGCTTGCATTGGAGCTCAAAGTCCTGACATGGAGCTTGAACTCAAACTTCTGATCCAGAAGTGAGAGTGTTACAACTGAGAAAGGTTGACAACTAAACCTAATACATGCCATGTATTGAGAGCATAGTTCTCTCTTTGGTACAATAACACCTTAGACCCAGCACGAACTGAATGATCTTGCATAAAGTTTACGATGTTATAGGAGATTGAGATACAACACGGGCACAAGTACAGTCTCAAAATTGAAAATCAAAATTCAGTGTTTAACATTAATTGAATAAAAGTACATTTCCGTTCCATTCAAAGTATAATCTGACTTCCGATAATTGTTTAAATGGAGGTATAAGAAATATAAGTGTGCTTTTCTGATGCAAGTAAAAATGAAATGTCCAGTTGCAGTGTTAATAAATTAATTTATTACATTTCAAAAACAGAACATAAGTAAATTTTAACTATGTTACTTTCAGTACAAACAAAATGACAAGGGCTTCAATACCTAAGGCTGTAATAAGGAAACATTGTTTTACAAAGTCTATCACCCAAATGTTCTGGTAAACAAGTCAGTCCATGTAATTGTCCATGCTGCTATTCTCACAACGAACACATTACTGTCACCTTTGCTCTGCCACTCCGTCACAGATCAACAATAGCTCATGAGGGCCAATTTAGCAGAACATTCAATACTTAACACATTGAAAGCACCCAGATATGCAAAGGTCACACATATTCTTTTCCCAACACCATTCTCAAAGGCAAGTTCCAATTTCTGCTATATTGAGCTTCCAGACTTGTTTTTGATGACTGGTGTTTAGTAAAATACTGATTCTTTATTAAACCCAAACCAACGAGCAGCCAGTACTGTATTTCACTAAACGCCAATCAAAAAATACTTGGCTTCATGACATTTGCCAATGAGAATGCCATTAATTGGTCCAGCTCTCACATAACCAGTTACATTTGATGCTGTAAACATGTAAAGAACCCCTTTGTCTTACTGATTTTAACAGTTTCTAAAAGCAACACTTGCACTTCAGTGCTGATTTAAATGTAAATGCATAATTAAAAGCAAATTAATTCTATGCTTGCAACTGGTTACTAAATAATTAAAATTTTTGTATGAATTATATATACGACTGTAAATATTTTTCAACGGCTACTTAAGATGAAGGGCCACCTTATCCTTTTAACCCTGAAGTAAATGGACACTGAGAGAGTTGAAATAATTGCTGATTCTAATCACCCATCTTAGATAAGTTTGCTGCACCCAAATAAGGAAAACTTTGATGTGAAACCAAGTCTTGGTTCCGGATCAGTTTCCATTATGAAACAGAATTTTCTGCCTCTTTATTTTCTGTAAACAACCTCACTTGTGATTCGTGAAAATTCCCACATTGAAAAATCTTATACAGTGGATAAAACTCTGATAACAATTGACCAAAATATTCCATTGTTTTACTCTGAAAAAACTTTCTCTTAAAATTGTGGAAATTCTTAAATTCTGCAATAATTTGTAAGCTAGTTCTTGAAAAGAACGACATCCGCATTCAGGCTAAATTTAAGAGTTTGCACAGTTCTGTATAATTGTAAATTTCAAGATCAAATGGTCTTACAGACTAAGGATAGGTAGGATTTTGGACCATCTATATTGAAAGTCCTTGACTTACATTTTAAGCAAAAAAAATGTTATCACATCTTCCCACTGGTAGTTAAGAAATCAAACAACCATTAATATGTAGCTAAGAATAAGTTTATCCCAGCATTCATATTGACATCCTCCACTTCTTCAAAGGGCGTGTGCTCTGTCAATAAAAATAACGACTTTCATTTTAACACTGCAGCTTAGATTTCCAGAATGCTGGAGCACATCTTGTTTCTGTTACCAATTTTCTGAATGAATAGTACCAGCCAAATGCATAGCACTGGTATCTGTTTTATTTTTGAAGCGCTATTTTGAACATTTCTTGAGTGACAGCAGACTTTGCCATCTGCGTTCATACGTTTCTACATTTTAATATGCGTATAATCATTCCAGAGTGATCGGAACAGTTTGAAATGTGACATGAAGAGCCAAGAAGCTATTCTTCCAATAGAATGCACTTAACGCATTTTATAATCATGAGAAAGAGATAATTCACACAGCTGACCTCGAAAATCCAACTCGATTGTAAAATCCAGGTCACGCTGCAATAGAAATAAATTAGGTTTCAGTATGTGGGATCATGATAATCTGCAAATTATGCAAAAATATACAAACAATAATTCTGGACAAAATTAACTTCCTATTTTAAGTTACAAAATGTTCCAATCTATGAGACCCACGTTGCATTGTTGATTCATATCTCAGAACTAACCTGGACTTGAATCTCAATATATTTCAAGGTTATTTCTCAAGGATCTTGTCACAAGATGGCACACGCACATTATTTGGTACACGCTGGTGCACATTTCCCTAATGAATCGTACAAATTCATTTTTCATAGCGATGCAAACTAAGTTAATGTTAGAGATTTAAAAAGATTCAGCATTAAGATTTGCCCCGCGGGGCACAACAGACAACACTGCATGAAAATACGAAGAACCAGATAGCTTATCTTGAGGAGCAGTGTGTATGCTAAACCAAAGTAAACTGATAATCTCCCCTATTCATGACTTTAAGAAGTAATTATAGCTAGATTTATTTTACTCCATCACCGCTCAACCCCACAGGATTGTGGCGTAAAGGGTTTGCATTTTGTGTTCATATGAAAATCTGTCTGTTGCTGCTGTAACCTGACTCTTGCCATTCAGTGAGGTTAAATGCTTTGAGTGATTGGCTGTTTGATTTCCTGATCCTTTGGGAAAGAGAAGCCCAGGAAAGAATTAAACGTATTTTCATGTTGAAGGGTTTTCACAGGTATATATTTTGGCTTTCAATTAGAATATTGAAAAACAATAACGGGATCCAGTCGACTATGAGACAGGAAGCATCACATAGTCTTCATAGGATGTTTTACATCTTGTTCACCTCAAGAATTTATACTAAATATGCACCAAAGCAAGTGAATAGCCATACAGCTATAACACATACAGAATTTGGAAAGAGAATTGCATTGTTTTACATTAGTTAGACATTACTCAGAATAAGGCCAGTGGCTTAAATAAAAGCACGACAATGTTTGTGGCTTGTCTGCACTTAATTCAAAGTTACTGTGAGAAACGGGTAGTGCTGTTGTTTTTATTTAGCTGCGACTTGCTTTCAAATCCAACTCAGATTGATGAGAAGAAATTATTGTGGTTTTGTTGCCTGGCAAATTTTGAAATTAATTGAGGGCTCACCCCAGTGCTGAGTGGAGGTAGCACAGAACTATCTACAAATCAACACACACAGCTGCTAACTTGACAGTCTTGCTCAATGAGGCCACAAGAGAGATTAGAGTTGAAATTCAGACCCATATATTGACACTGATCATGTCGGCCTCTAATAAGAGTGACTTTTTATAACTGTGCAGTGTCAAAGTCGTGACACGGAACATTGACCAGAATTTACGCACTTCAGTGAAGGAAATGAACAGAAAAAATATCTTTTATGCAATTGAGGTTGAAACACATTATATATATTACTTATCAGATGACAAAGGTAGAAAATATTGTGCTCTATTCCCTGCACTGGCACCCCTCACCTTTATCAGCATAGTAATATAACAACTACAGCTTTCAGGTGAGGTATAAGGTTTCTGGAAGTTCAAGAACAGGTGCGAAGAGCAACAGTAACGGAGGGAAGAAGCTTTTTAACTGTAATTTGGGGAGGCGGGTCAGATTTCGAGGGATGGTTCAAATGAAAAGACTGAAAATGGAATGAGCTGCGTCTCTAGCAAGGCAACTTGTACTGAGAGGAAATGATAAGGTAGAAAACCCAGGAGCTCCAGCAGGTGAGTAAAGAAGTGTTCACAACAGAAACACCATGAAGCAAAAGTGGAGAATTAGCTGAGGTAGAAGCACAACCAGAAAACGAGTAGGATTAAGGAAAAGAGAGATTGATTGACAGGCTGTGCTAAAATCAGCTAAGGAGCAGAGAGGAAGACAGTTGTCTGGAAGAGAGGCAGAGCATGTCAGTCAGCCTGGCGCAGTGGTAACGCTATCGCCTCTGAGTCAGAAGGTTGTGGGTTCAAGCTCACGTCAGGACTTTGAATCACATAGTCTGACACTCCAATACAGTGTTGTAGTGGTGGCGGTTGCATAGTCGGACTTGCCTTCCTTTGGATGAGACATTAAACCAAGGTCTGATTTGCCTCTTCAAAAAAGAGAATGGAGTTTCTATTGGTGTCCTGACCAACAGTCCCCAAAATAAAATTGGTCACTCACGTCATGGCTGTTTGTGGGATTTTGCTGTTCACAACTGGCTTCCACATTTTCGCCCACAAAATAAATAATCAATCTATCTTATAGCACATCCTGTGAAACGCTTTGAACCATTTCAACAACCTGATAAGACGCAATATCAAATGCAAGGATTATTATAAGAGTGAGCAGGATATTGAAGGTCCCAAGCTGAACTGAATCATATGGTAAGTGGGTTAGGGACACAGTTGAGAGAGCAGTAAAGACATTGGAGTTCACAGAGCCAAGGGCACAAAGCTGAATTGCAAAATATGTTTCAAGTCAGAATGTCAAGGTACAAAAGCCTAACTGTAACCATTAGGGTAAAGACACAGCAGTAACAGGCAAAGAGAATATTTGAGTGACCAGCGGGCAAACAGAGCATAGTGATGAAACATGCAATTGAGAGCACGATGTGTGAACATTGGATTAGGCTACATCTTCATAAGATTGGCTTTGGTTCTTCTGAGCCAAGCAGAATTATGTTTGATGTTGCTGCTAGTTATATTCACAATAAATGTCAAGTGGCAGCTTAATTGGTTTCTGTTCAGCTAACATGTAATGTGAATGCTTAACGCATCTTTGTGGTAATAACATGCAATATGGATGTTTTATGTAGCACAATATTGAAATTGACCTGGTTGACAGTGTGAGGATTGGATTTTAACGCAATGACTTACATTTGTTGCACACTGGAACAAGGAGCAATAGTGGCAGAAAACCACTTTGAAACCACAGAATGGATCAAACCACAGAATGGATCAAATTGATCCAAAAAGAGTATGTTCATTAGAAGATCTAAAAGTCGAAGGTAAAAAGTGAACCCTTTCATATGAAGGATGCAATTGGGTAGTTTTAATTTCAGAATACCTTTACTAATGTAATATATGAATAAAAATTGCACGTGCAAGAAAAATCCTACTTGTGAATTGGAATTAATTCAGTGTGATAAAAATGTCAAGTCCATTGCTGTCACTGAAATGAAGTGTGACCCATTTGTGCTGCATGAAAACAGCCATATGGTTCAAAACCACTGTACTTATGCCTAGAAATGTATGATTTTCACAGTTTTCAATTGCATTTGTGCACAGGTCAGTTCTTCAAAGGATGAATGGCGCATAAATAAAAGAAGGAATGAGTATTTTTAAAATGCCTTAACACGTCAGAGAGTTTTCAAAGTCAGTAACAAGTAATTCCTGTCAAGTGTGGTTATAAAGTATTGAATAAGAACATTGGTATTCCCAATCCTGTCTACTGTTGCACCTCTATCCTGATTAAAATCAACATAAATCAAGGATTGCACCAAAGATCATCTTGATCTGTATGGCTCAGCAACATGTAAGTCATTGCATTTAATGCTGACCCATTAACAGACTGTAAAGTTACTTAACTTAGAAATATAAGAAAATGAATCAGAACATGCTCCAGTCTTGTTTGCCTTAGGAGCAGCTATTTAGTTTTGTTTTCATTTTTTATATAAATCTATATATATATATTTGTGTTTCATTATTGATAATATTGATCAAGCAGCAAAAGACATAAAAGCAAACTTTCAAATTCCGCCTAGTTATACAGAAAAAGAAACATAAAAATTAAAATTTATTAGGCATCTGCCATTTCATTTCTACACTTGGCAGATCAATGTTGCGTAAACTGGTCTCTACATCATAACAAATCACATAGATAATTCCTGTTTAATGAATCAGTAAACATACACATGACGAATGCAAATGATAATCACAGTAGCAGCACAAAACAAATGGAAATACTGTACTTTTTTTATTAGTAAACAAATTAACCAATGGATCAATCATTCTATTATGTAGAACTAATATTAAAAATGACATTAAACCACGTTTGAAATATATGAGCTTTATATCTGGGTTGAAGTTTATGAATTGACTTACATTGTTTTTTGCATTGGGTTTCATAGCTATAGATCCATATATCTCTTCTCCTCGTTTTACAGTCAAATAATCTTCTAAGTAAAATACTGTTTGTTTCCAGTGTGTATATGGTGCATCAGGGGCTAGAGAGAAAAATAATAAGATGTCAAAAATACTTAAGCTTCAGCTACAGACATTAACAATTTTAAAATAAAACTATCATTTTATGTTTCACAGCCTCAAACATGTTTTGCTTGGATAAATCCTCTGAATCCACAGATGACTTGAAAACAATAGACTTTATTACAATCAATTTACTTATAGTGCCTTTATTCATATGGGATCGCAAGCTGCTGAATTTTGTAGTCACTTGTGATACCATTGTAACAATTACAAAGTGTCTGAGCAAAAACACCTCGTCATTTTGATACCCGTGCAGCTAATAAATCAAGTATCAGTATCAATAAAAAAATAGTCGATTTCAATATTTAACTGGGAAGATCATTGGAACACAAAGTATAAATGGGTTCAAGCAACAACTCAGTGCGGAGAGACAAGGGAGAGAAGGTGGATAGATGTAGCTGAAAATCTAAAGCGATAGATGGCCTTTTCTAGGTCCAAATAATTGCTATGTTCAATGTGTCTAGTTGTGTCTATTATAATTATAATTGGAGTTGCTTTCAGTTTAGTTGACTCGGAGGTCTATGATGCACCAATTTGTTACTGTGGCTGCAAGTAATGACTGATAACCGGAGTGTATCATTACATCCCATAGGAACATTGGGATCAGGAAGTATATTGTATGAGAGTGGTGTAGGTTCCTATTACCACTAGTACTTAATATTAGCGGCTCTTGTCATGAATCAGTACATGTTAGACCTTCATGTCACAAATGTAGGTGAGGACACTGCAGAGATAAGCCTTTCACGCTGCTTCTGACTGAAAGACAAGAATTTACCTTTGGTTAGAATGTCCTTTGTAAAGTATACTCTCTATTCCCTCATCTCTGGTGACATGAGCCACTTGTAAATTAGGAGTATTTTAAACCTGTTTCAAATTATTGTTTAAATAGCATGCATGACCTTCAATATTAATTCATGAGAACAATGACTATGTGTCTTATTTATTTTAATCAGATCTTTTCCCTCTATTGATTGTTTTAGTTGGTTTTCTTGTATTCTAGTGCGGTATATAATGCGCATTCTTGTTGTTGTTGTGAAGCACTTTGAGACATCTCAACGATGTGATAAGGCGCTATAGCCCTACTCGGGTCCTATCCCTGTCTGCTCAGCGCCTTGGGACGTCCTCCTGACGTGAAAGGCACTTTACAAATGCAATATTGTATTGTATATCAAATGCAAGGATTATTATTAATAAATCTGGATCATTTTTACATATAAGTTTTAAAAAAATTAATATCAAAGTTATACAATGAGACCCAACCATTCACTTTATCTGTTCCAGATTGCACTAGAACCATTTGCTTAAAAAAAATAAGCGATTGAGTTACCTGTAGAAAATCCAGTTTTCTTGTGACACTTTGTAAATTCAATGTTAAAATATGCAACCAGAGCATGTATGTACTCATTTCGCTGGACTTGAAGACAGAACCCAGAGGTAAATGACAGGTCTTCAGTCTTCACATTGTAGATATCCACTTCCTGGATGACAAAATATTCCTTCAATAACCTCCAAAGATATTTTAAAAGCACTCAATTCAAAAATATAAAGAGCCAGCTTATTAATATTTATGCCAAACATAAACTGTTAAATGGTTATTCAAATATTGCGAGCTCAGTACATTGAGAAAAGTATTCAATTAATCATAAAGTAGCAAAGGAACAAGCAAACAACATGTGTAGGAAATTCATTGGCTGTTCCTATGAACAAACTACTCGTTAAACAGTTGCAAAACAAGCAGCTGAAGGATCACTTTTTCTCCCCGAGGTCCTGAAGATAATGGAACTAGATGTACCAAATGATTTAACAATATTGGGACAGAGAATGTTAAGTGCTCCAATTAGTTTAACGTAATCTCCTAGACTGCAAAAAGGTAGCAGAATAACTTTATTCAAAGAGCCAGATGTCTGAAACTTCTCATAATCCAAGCCTTGAGATCATTGTTTTAAGGTTGTATAGAATTTTGGATAATTTTTATACTCGGTCTTACTTTGGAAGCCATTTGCTGCTTAAGAAAACAAAACCCAGCTTCAAAATAAGATTGAATTTAAGAATTATCCAATATTCTGTACAATCTTAAATTTAAAACCATGCTTTTAGGACGTGGGTTACTCCAGGGCTCGGGAGTGCTTCAAGAATGGTGAGTAATCTACATTGTTTCTTTGTGGGCAGTTGTGTTAATGTAATATCTCTCAAGATTTGGGGCATTTATCAGTTATTACCCAAGGTGTATCCTTCTGTAGTTTGCTCCAAAAATATTTGGCAATTTATTCGGTGCAAGTGCGTACACTCAGGTTACCCTAACTGCTGGATGTGAATGGCAACCATGCTGGAATCTATCTTTCATTATAAATTTATGTGCACAGCGGGCATAATGTTGGAAGTGAAATCTGCTGGAGCAATAATAATCCAAAGGTCAGAAGCCACTTCAAACAAACGTGGTTTATGTGTCCTAAGTGCTGTTCTGTCCACAAGGCAGACAAAATGGAGACAAATCGGTGATTGTGAAACATAACGAATGCCCTCTTGGGTGAAGCTATTGCTACTAACAGCAATTGTTCATGTCAAGAACTTCATGTCAGCTGTAGTTTAAGGCTAAAATACTGCACGAACTCATAAAACATTAACTTAAAGGCGGTGGTACAGATACAGATCTAAAATGTGGCATTTTTTTTATGTCTCCCAGACTACCTTCAAGAATTGGAGCACTAAAGGATATCCCACCAAGTGTAAGGTCACTGTTTAATTCAGCTCTAATGGAAGTGAGTTTTGAAACTTCATCTGAAAGCCTGTGTAGGTAACGCAAAAAGATAGCAATAACACAGAGAATTATGCTATTGTGGTTCCAAAACTCTTCCATTTGCTGTTGCAAATTGTCTGAACAGTTGCACAAATAATAATAATCCTTTACTTTGATATAGCGCCTTATCACGTCTTCGAGACATCTCAAAGCGCTTCAAGGAATATACTGGAAAGTGCACTGATTGTATAATTCGTGGGTGAAACATACAGTCAATTCACTTCACAATATATTCTGTGAAGCTCTTTGAGACGCCTTGAAGATGTCTCAAAGTCATAATGGAATTAATGGCTTACCAAGGTAACCACAAGGTGATCTACCTCGCCTTTCAATTAAGCAAGCTAATAGTCAGGGTAAGATATCAACAGTCCTTTTTCTTCATTAGTGCTTTGAGAGAAATCCTGGCTGAGATGTTTGTAATTGACGTATTCCTAATTATAAACTGAATGCCTGTGGATATATGCATATCACTGAGCACATCAAGTAGGAGTGCTTTCAAAAATGAAACGTTTTAAAAATATACTGATACTGCTGACATTACAGCTGTCGGGGTTCTTACGAATTTCTCTTCAAAACTGATTTGCTAAAGTATAGTGTTATTGTCTCACAATATTTTGCAATATAGCTCTGGTATCCATCCCACAGCTGCCTCAAAATTAGTTTTCTTCAAGATAGAAAAAGAAGATTCTGTATTGAAAATATTTATTCTAATACCAAATATCGCAAGGAAGAGACCTGGGTTGGGCAAGTTTCCTTACTCCCCAAGCCTCTGTTTACCTAGCAGTAAGTAGGTACCCAGTTGTTAGTCGATTGGTGGATCGCTTGTCCGGGGGTAATAATTCCTTAAAAAAAACTAGTAAATTGGTCACTCAATCCATGACTGTTTGTAGGACACTGCTGTGCACAATTGGCTGCCTCGTTTCACCCACAAAATATAGTAAATTCACTTTACAGTGTATTCTGTGAAGCGATTTGAGACATCTTGAAGATGTGATAAGGCACTATAACAAATGCAAGGATTATTATTATTATTTAGATTTCAGGGGAGGTGAGAATCCAACTTTGATACACTGCATCTTTGAAATAAAATACACAAAATCTTTCTTCAGAAAAAGGTAAAATAGTATTATTTGACAGAAGAGCATAGCCAAACCTTAACTAGACAAGCATTGGTCACAACTTGTTTGGGATCCACAATGTCTACCAAGGGTTCCTTCATGGCAACGTTTCTGATACATGTCATATCAAAGCCATAAACATTTTCCCACCCTGATGAGAATAAAACATAGGAACATTAGTGGAAGTTACATATCTTTTTAGGAGATGGCAGAGCGCCACGCACTGGAGTACACGCACCAGGTGTCATGGAACGGTGAGGTCCCACCATTACGTGGTTCTTCAGATTCAAGTTTGGTTCAAGCTTGCTTCCTTCAAGACCCTCCTCCTTGACCACACCTTTGGTCACCCTCCAACACCTACTCTCCCTGTCCTCCACCCCTCCTGATCCCAATCTCCTGCTCGGGTCCAAATCCCTTATTGTCCAGCTCCTTGGGAGGTCCTCCTGACGTGAAAAAAGCTAAACAAATGCAATTTATTGTTGTTGTTCATTTTTCTCCATCCCATCCCTGTTCCATGTCTTCTACTGTTTGCCCAAGATCACATCCTTCCATACCACCTAATTGTTGTCTCTGATGGATTTTGGCAGAGGCCAGTGGTAGCAAGTACTACAACATCTGTCCACTGCATCACAACCAATGCTCAAACCACAGCTGGATTCAAACCCTCAAAACAATCAAGGATCACATAAAAAAAACACAGAATGCATAAACATTCAAAAGCGATCTTACAGTGTATTTTGAAGTCCTTGTATTGTCGATCTTCGATGGCTATGATGTACAATGTAGCCCGGTCTGGGAACATAAGCCCTCCAGGTTTCTGTTGATGAATTTTGGGGAAATGGGTCTCGTAATCTATTCACCTGATAAAGATATCACATTTTGAACTGCACATACAAAAGAAATCAGACTTTGCATGCATTTATTGTTCTTTGCCCCAATTTCACATCAGGGTTTGTTTCCTGATGGATCTGGGTAACTCAGTGCAATGCCACCTGATAGCACTGTCAGTTTCAATTACGGCAGCTGTCACTCAAGGAAGAATCTGTTTATATTCCAAACTTGTCTGCTTTTCTCTACACTTACATAGTTAGACGGGTTTTTCACCCAGGAACTCAATAGGTTGGTTTTATCTGTAATAAAATTAGAAAATGAGTAACTATCCCCCTTCAGATATTTTAATATGCGGTGCACCTACCAGCCATTTATCTCGTGCAAAGATAACTGTGTTAAGCATGGATTCATAGAAAAGGCAGTAACCCATCCATTCACTGATTATGATGTCCACTTTATCCACTGGCAGTTCAACTTCCTCCACTTTACCCTTAAATATTGTGATTACTGTAAAACAGTCCAGAGACATCTCACAAAATAATTGGGAAAGAATTCAACAGATGGATTTGGTTTTAATATGCAATGAATTTCTTTTAATCATGCAAGAATATGTTACTAACTGCTAAACATGGTCATAGTGGCAAACTGTTCATTGCATAATCATTTCCTCTTAAAAAATTATCAAAACGAGTCAGATTTTTGTTTTATGCTGTAAAAACAAAGATCTGTTTCTGTGTATAATTTTGTGGATGAACCGGACAATATAAACGTTCCCACACCCACCCCTTCCCCATTAACATTTAATTTTGCGAGATTAAAAAATCCCTCATTTTAAATCAAGCCAAGTGCATTCTAGATTTTTTTTATATTGATCATTTTGACAGAGTAGTTGACTGTTTGATAGAATATGATTTATAATACATCTTAAAATGTTCTTACTATGATCCAAGTGGTTTGCTTTGATAATCTTTTCTGAATAGTCCGAGATGCTTGAACACTCAATCTGCAGAAATATAACAAGGAGAATATAAAGGAATGCTATGCTCTAAATATGCCAGTGCATTTGCCAACCTCTCTTACCATCAACCAATTCTCTCTGCACTTTGAAAATAATTGCTTTCACTATAGTCACTCACACCAAACCAATATGCTTTAAAATCTGTCACTGTCAAAATGTAAAAATTATCACAGCTGTGAGTAAATCGCTCACAAGCTCTTTGTCTCTGCTCTGTGCAATCACCCTATGATTGGTGGTTTATACATGAAGCTGGAGGAGTGATGAGAGAGAGAGATAAAGCGAGATAGTATGAAAGACAGAGACAACACTGAGAAAATGCTTCAAATATCCTTCATGTGACGTTTGTGAATTATAATAACATTCTGAATAAATAATAATAATCCTTGCCTTTTATATAGCATCTTCCACTCCGGGAGGACGTCTCAAAGTGCTTCACAGGATTCAAACTGTAAAGTGCAGTGACTGTTCCTTCTATACATGAATACAGCAGCCTTGAGTGTGCACTTGTCCTTTGTGATTTAGCATTTATAGGGAAGAAATGTGTCCGATGTAATGTGATTAACCCCCAATCAAGTTATATCACTAATATCAAGTTATCTTGTTCAATTGCTTTTCCCGTTTTATTTTTGTAATGTTTATTACTTCTTAAAGAACATTTTATTTTTGGAAACAATATGTTGATTTGACTTTTATAAAGGTAAACTGTCTTTTCGTTCTGAAAATATATCTTATTTGTTTTCCTCCATCCCATTTCTTCTTCAAGGGCATTTCTGACAAGGCAACTATTCCTAGCCCTCTGTTGCATCTATTGATTGACTTGGCCAAGATTCCAATATCAATTAGTTCACTCTATCAAGAAGTGCTTGTTTGAACCAGTGTCCCATTACTCCACACCACAGACTACCTACGCATCAGCACAAATCATGAGATTTTACTTCCAATCATTCTATTCACCAGAAGTCGCCACAACATTTTAGGGGGGGAAATAATTTTTTTTCCCCAAAGAGAGTGTATGGAGATCTGGAAATGAATCACTCAAGACTTGTCATGGATTTATCTTAAAATCCCCATTGGCGTATGCGCAAGTGTTTCATCTGTTCTTTGTTCAAGGAATGGGACATAGTGCACTGGGATCAAAGTGGGGAGGTAGGCAAACATTTTACTAAAACTCAATAACCGCACTCCAACAATGTCAGACTCTTGACAGGAATGTGGGAGGAGGCTATTAGGAACAGGAGCAGGCCATTCAGCCCCTTGAGCCTGTTCCGTCATTCCATAAGATCATGGCTGATCTGTACCTCGACTCCAATTACCCGGACTTGCCCCATATCCCTTAATACTCTGACCTAACAAAAATCTAACCACCTCAGTTTTGAAAATTTTAATGGATCCACCAAGGTATTGCAACCTTGACGAACATTCAGATTGCAGATTTACCTAAGGGGTGGATACAATCAGTATTGACCAAAGCATCCTCTAGGAGGCTTTTGTATCTGTGCAAATGGCTATGATCTGGTCCACCATGTCCTTTCTCCATAGTTAGGCGAGAAGGACCAGAGTCTAAATTTAGAAGGAAACAGATGAGAGGAAGGTAAAAACTTGGGTTTAATCATTGGAAAATCTAATAAATACATTCAATATTAGAGAGGTGATTATGTATTCAATGTCTTAATAATTTCTCATTCATGCGAGAAAATTAGCTTTGTTTTTAGTGTGCACAATTTACGATAGAGAGCCTGCAATTTGCATATTTTATGTCCTATCAAGTGGCTAACGTTTCATTCTTTTGTCAACGAGGATACACTTGTGAAAAATTAGTTTTTGGACCTGTTTAAGCTCTCGGTGAGAGTGAGTCTATTTAGAGAAGTGTGCATGTTTTCCTAAAATGCTTGGTTAAGGTTTTGAAATGTTTTTAATGGGGTGTTGGGGGGCATAAAGAACGAGTGGAAATTCATGTGGAGTATAAACATGGGCATCATCTGGTTGGATTGAATGGCTTGTTTCCATGCTATACGTTTTTTGCAAAATATACTGTTTGGAAAATTATTTTAATGCACTATAGTATAATTGATGTTGGAAGGCACAGCACATTAGCTGATACAAAAAATGTAGGTGAACGTTTTTCATCTCTAAAGTACTTTAAAACATAAGCCTTTCCCATAGTTGCTGACTTGATAGCAAAACAATATAATAACCTCATCTTATTGATTATTCTGCAGCTATGCCATATAAACAAACAGAATTCTTACTTTGTACATTGAAATTGGAAAATAATGGTGAAGGCAGTGAGGGAAAATGAAAGATGTGTTTTATCAATATGTTGGGGGCAAAAAAAAATAAATTGTTTTATTTATAGTGAGGCAAATGTAGGCGTGATTCAGTTGCCTTTCATTTATGTAGTATCATCCATTAGTCCATCTTGTATTCATACAAAACACCTACAGATTGTACCACCCACAGTCTAACTCATAAGGGGTCATCTTTTAACTGTGATTGTTTTTAACGGGCTAAAGGAATGATGTGGGTAGTTCTGTAGAGTAGCTCTTCATGAAGATTCAAAGCATGGAATCATCTCTATAATTCTCTACATAGTTAATTCCTCCTACACAAGAGGAGAGGCATTAAGCAGAGGATTGGAAAATGAGCAGGTGAGTAAACCACTCCAGTGCCTTTTCTAAGCAGCTGGACCGGGAAAGGACAAGGTCAAAGGAATATTGAACGACCATAGAAAGTGGTCAGGATTTATTTTTCTTCTGGGTTCATTATTATCCTGCAATAATAGACTGCCTTAGATGGCTTGATCATGGAGTTTGATCAAGCTATTTGATGAAGAATTACCACTTGGACAATTTATCACAGAGTAATTAGTGTTTGTAAAGCTACACTTCAGCACTTTTGTGAGAAGTGGAAAGGAAGAAAAGAATAGATTGGCACAAACCTTTCAAATGCACTCTCCTAATTTTGTTGAAAGCTGAATAGCTCACTTAAGTACTCGGTCAGTTTACAGTGGATAAATGCAAAATACAAAACACCTACCCCATATACTTTCTTGGCTCCTGCTCTAGCTGCAAACATTGCTAGGATTCCTGTCCCGCTTCCCACATCCAGCACTGTTTTGTCCTTGAACACATGTTTGTTGTGGTACATGGAGCTCCTGTATGTTAAAGTTCGAATTTCGTCTTTTAACATTTCCTGTGATCAGAAAATGAAGAGTTGATATTAACAACACCAACAACTTGCACTTATAGAGCACCCTCCACGCAGTGTAGCATCTCAGAGCGCTTGACAACAACTGAATGTTTTCCTTTTTCTGTCATATTTTGATAAAGCAGCAAATTGAATTAGATCCAAAAAGGAAGGAATCTTCTTGATTTGAGAATGTAGGTTGATTCTGTTAACACTAGCCCTGGTAAGATGTTTATGCTAAAATAATCTAACAAGGAGTTTGGAATTGCAGAAATCTTTTAAACTCAACTACCTATAATTTTCAAAACGCCTGTACCGATGAATAAAACTGAGCAGATATCACTGTATTGTGAAAGATTATTGCTTTAAAGGACTGTGCAGTGAAATGTTCTCTCTCTTATTTCTCTCTTTTATTGAACAACAAGAGGGTGAGCAATGATCATGAGAAATATACCAACCATTTCAATTGCTAGTTTACAGTGACCAGCATTGAAATCCATGTCAATCAGCACAAGGCAGACACTTAAACCTAACTTGAAATTGCTCTCCTTTACACCAATTGCAAGTTTGAACTTGTTATCAAGGGATTTATAATGGCAAATGAAAGTCTGCAACTGACATTTGCCTGCCGCTATAGATAATAATAATAATCCTTGACATAGCACCTTATCACATTTGTAGGAGAGCTTCACAGAATGTACTGTAAAGTGGATTGACTGTGTATTTGGTGGGTGAAACATGGCAGCCGATTGCGCACAGCAGTGTCCCCAAACAGTCATTGATTGAGTGAGCACATTTTGGGGGGGGGGGGCGGGAATATTACCCTCAGAAAGCGATCTGCCAATTGACAAGCAATCGGGTTCCTACTCTACAAGGTAAACAGAGGGGTGTGGAGTAAGGAAACTTGCCTAAGGCTTCGCCCCGTCCGGGAATCGAATATAGATATTCTATAAAAGGAAAAGAAAGTCCTTTCACAAAAAATACTCTGTCTAAACTTCTGTTGTGCTAATATTACACTGTTATGTCAACATGCTATTTTTCACTTTAATAATCAGTGGCATTAATAGAAAATATGTACAAGTAGAAATACAACTTCTGGTAAATGGATTGCAGGGTGGTTTAGTGATAGCAGCTGAAGGTAAACTTAGCAAATAGATGTGATAGGATTGCATCAGTATGAGCCCCAATTTTAACAAAGATATAACCTCTGCTGAGCTGGAACAATTTGATGATCACATCTCCCACTTCACCCTTTTACACAATCAGCTCAACGCGTTTCCTGCTGCTAGAACTAACAGATTCAGCATTCAGGTCAGATTTTACATTAACAATACTGCAATGCTATTAACATGTAATGGCTCTCTCCTACGGTCCACATAGCACTTGCTTTTGTGCACGCTCTGAAGCCTGAATCTGCAGTAGGAGGTCTGATTCTATGCTTTGCTGGTCAGCACCCCGAGGAGTGAGTGACTTTGACGTTTTCTCGTTCACCTTGAAATGAAATAAGGCTGAGAGTCATTACCTTCAAGAGGTGGGAGAACTGAGGGGAGGGGAAATTACTAATGATTTGGGAGCCCATTGAATGCTATAACTTGATGGTGGTTCAGATGCCTTTATTACACAGACATCACCGACAAAATTTACGAATTGTACAAACTGTTCCACTGCATTGTGTCCTCATCATAGATTTATTTTCTGAATAATGGCTCTTATAATTATCTGCAAAATTTGCTGCATTCAATCACATGGGTATGGGGAAATGGGACTGAAAGGAGCCTAGACAGATATGATGGGCCAAATGGCCTCCTTCAGTGCAGTAAATTTCTATGATTCTATTCTTCATTTTGTTTCAAGAAATACCTCCTGTTTGTCCTACAATTTGTAATCTTGAACCTGTGCCCTCTTATTGACGTGTCTGACATGTTAACTATTTCTTTGCAACAGATGATGAAATTGCCCAGAGGTGCAAGAGAGGTTGTAGAAGCTATGTGGGAGCAATATTCAAGTTTTGAATTGAACTGAGAATTAAGAGATTTTTGAAAACTGCTACTATCTATCAGAATGTAGTAATCCTTGATATTGGTCCAAAATCTTTTTTCGAGAGCATACTGTACTAACGCTATGTGTGAAGATTTGTGAGTGAAGTGAAACTAGGCAATGCAACCCCAGCCAAACAATGACAGTACTACATAGGCTTCATGGGAGGGAGAACGTCACAGTATTAAAGAAATGCTCTTTGCTTTTCTATTTTAGCACAGAAGATAAGCCAAAATAATCATTCTCATTACAAATGGCAGAGTGGTGTGAAAAATGAGTGTTTCATAACTGTTTGGATATATCATCTTAAATCTGATATGAAACGTTGCTTTTTTTCATTGCAACGGTACATTTTGATGCATATTACGCAATTATGTTGCATGGCTGCAAATAAGCACCAAAAGATATTCCACACTTTTCAGGAAATTTAAAGTTACAATCTGTCTTTGTCTGCACACAATCTACATGCAAATCAGGTTAGCAAAAAATGCCTGAAGTCAGCCAAGATTGCCTAACGAACAACATCTAACAACATTAATAACATCCATTCGCTTAACGGATTTGTTTCATAAAGGCAAATATTAATGGGAATTGAGTGCAAACAGAAGACAAGAAAAAGCAGAAGCCTGGTGTGTCAATCACTTAAAGTGAAGTAAACATCCTGCCTAAATGATCTGTTTCTGGCAGTAAAATCAGCTGTCAAATGCACAACAGATTCTTGCATTGACCCTGCAAATACTGGAAACGTTAAGCAGTTTTCAATTGTGGAATTTAGCATTTAAGTTCCGCTGTTTGAAACGTAATTGACAGTCCAGCAATCCTCTGCAATAGAATCCTAACATTAAATTGAATGAGATGGGAGGATGAGCATATATAACGTGGTTTTAACTATTTAAGGATCAATAAAATGTAAGCAAAGACAAGGTTAATATTCAGAACGAATTAATTGAGTAATTGTTCTGCAAGTGTTAGATAAACAAAACGTTTATATGTACATAGCTACTTTCAGTAACTTCAATATAATAACACTGTAATTTTGCAATTCAATAGCAATAAAAATAGTGAGCAGTGCATTTATCTCTGAAAATACAGTTGAAGTCAGAAAGCTTTATCTACAACATTCACTACTTATTTCAATTGCAACCTGACATTAGGTGATGGGTGGGAAAGCTATTTGTCTCAACTGACTGAAAGACAAAGTTGTAAATGATTTAGTTACAACACATGGGTATCTTTATCTGGGTATGTGTGTGCATTGAAATCAATTATTTTAATGCTGGGTCAACTGGAAAAAAGACATGAAGTGAATAAATCTACTGTATTATTTTCATGGAAACTTAATAAACCTAGTATGATGATAACGGGTTCTTCGAGAATTGAAGTCCCACAAAAAAAAACATTGCTAAATCGGTTAACAATGATTCTAATAAAACTGCAGAAGAAATTAATTTTATTCCATCCTAAAAATACTCAGAATGGCGCAAGGAGAATACGCAAGCAACAACTTGCATTCATATATCGCCATTCATACATTAGAATACATTAGAATATACAGCACAGAAACAGGCCATTCGGCCCAACTAGTCTATGCCGGTGTTTATGCTCCGCATGAGCCTCCTCCTGCCCTTCCTCAACTAAGCCTTCAAGCATAACCTTCTATTCCTTTCTCCCTCATGTACCTATCGAGCTTTCCCTTAAATACATGTATGCTATTTGCTATTCATGTGGGACACTGTCTCGGAGCTCTTAACTGTGGAGCCTAGGAGGGTTAGGGGGTGACCGTAAGCATTGGTCAAAGAGAAAGATCTTCAGTCAAAGAGGGGAAGGAGGGGGTAAGGCAGAGGGAATGGAGGAGGGCATTCCAAAGCTTTGAGGAGTAGTGGCTGAAAGCAAGGCCACCGACTGTTGAAGCGGAGGGGAGCAACAAGAGCCAATGGGTTACTACACTACCACCAGACTGAGGGGGAGGGCAGAGAAGAAATAGCCTTCAAAAAGCTTCATCACTGAAATGTGGATGTTGTACAAAATATTGCAAATATGTTCATGATACTTGGTGCAGATCTTTTTCCAGAGAAAGTATGATTTGGTGAAAGCATATTTAGGATTAAATTAGCTCTTTTAGAACACAAAAGGGAAAAGTGCTGAATACACTGGAAGGTGGGGGAATTCAATACCTTTTCACTCTCCCCCCACCCTCATTGCTTGTGTCCTTTTCTACTAGATATCAAATACTGATTTGCAGCTGCATTTTCAATGCAGCGCTTAATAATTACATGTCTGAGTGGAAAATTAGCTCTGTCATTTTACTAACTTAAATATAATTGCTGTTACCAACATATGAAGCAGCTTGCAAAATGTGTGTGCTTGAGTTGGCATAGTAGATCGTTTATTTTTGATCAGCCAGGTGTCTAACACATGCAGAAACCTGTTGTTATTACAGTGCTTAAGAGAATCCAAACCAAACTGAGAGTTCCACATAAGCAGGGTCCAAATCCCTGACTGTCCAGCGCCTAGGGACGTCCTCCCGATGTGAAAGGTGCCACACAATGTAATTTTGTATTGTATTGTAAGCATGCAACCTACTTATCGAGATTTCTCTTTGCCTAGAAGCCAGAGGGTGACTCACTTAATTCCATAAAACAGTAGGTGTAGGTTGGCAAGAGTCCAGGCTTGGGGTATTGCTGGTGTTTACCGAAGTAAAACCACATAGGTTGCCATTGCAAAATCTGCCTGATGAGCTTCCCACTGCTTGTCCAACTAGGACCACTCTATCCATTAGGACTTCGGCTTGCTGGGTTAACAGGAGCCAAGTGCCCCCAATTGCCATCTATCTCTTCAAGTCCTTCTGACAATCCAGGCTGGCTGGTCTGTCATCAACACCGTCTTGAGTACTGCAGACCTGTCTGGCTCAGGAACCAGACTACCAAAAATACATCCCGATATTCTATTGACAAGCACATCATGCTGGAGCCAGCTCAGCCCCATTGAGACCCCGCTATCTACCACTTAAACCTGGGAGAATGGGATATAAGATATTTAAACGATCATTTTCCCCAATAGCGTCAAAGAAAAATCCATACCTCGTGAATGCCAAAATGAGCATATGAATCAAAGTAGTAATCTTTTGAAGTCATTTCGTCCGGAGTCAAGAATTTTGATATTTTCCCTCGTCCTGGACAGTCGGCCTGCACATCTGTGAGCTGCGTGTTTTGGATGCATTGAACTGGCTGTGTGAGAGCCACAGGCTCATCTGGTTGGGAAGGGCCACTGGGGGTTACCTGGTTAAAAATCACAAGTAATTTCACACAATAATTCATATAGAGATATCTGTAGGTTTATTAAGCAGTGGAGTAAGGCTAGAGATATTTACACTTCACATTATAAAATAAAAATAGAAGTCACTGGGAATGCTCAGCAGGTCAGGCAGCATCTATGGAGAGAGGAAAGTGAGCTAATGTTTCCTGACCTGCTGAGTGTTCTCAGCGGCTTCTGTTTTTATTTCAGATTTCCAGCATCTGCAGTATTTTGCCTTTTGTTTATTGTTTACACTTTACATTAATTGTTCTTACACAGATCAGTCATTGACAGAACAAAACACAATGTACCGCCAAACTTGGATTGACTGTTTATCATTTTTAGATACTTAATTGGGATGGAGTTCCAGAGGGTGGGGGCAGAGAGGCTGAAGGCCTGCCTGCCAATGGTGGGGTGGGGGCGAGGCAGGGGACATGGGGGCAAGGCATGAAGATGGATCTAAAAGTAAAAAAAATTCAGGATGACATATTTGCAGCTTGGAAAAAATAAGAAAGGAACGTTTTGGAGAGCTAATTTATAATTACCTCAAATTACATGCGCTGTTATAACACTGAAACAGGTAATTTGTCCCAACTGTTCTATACTGGCATTTAGACTCCACATGACCTCCACTATGCCTAATCCCTCTTCCGCATCCCTCTATTCCTTTCTCCCTCCTGCCTGCAATTTTTCTACTGCCAAAGTCAAAAATGTAACAAGTGGAGACTGAAAAGCATGCAGATATTGCTGAGGTCACACATTTATGGGGAGCAGATAATAACCCAACTGAAATGTTCCATAAATAAAACAAGTGTTTTCTTTAGTTTATAAACATCTGCTCTGTGAATGAGTGATAATTCCCACCATTTGAATCTAGTTTGTTTGTGTGTCATGAAACCACATAATCAACCAATGATTACAATAATTGATACATTATAAAATTACATTTGTAAAGCGCCGTTCACAACGGGAGGACGTCCCAAGGCACTGAACAGTCAAAGATTAGGACCCGAGCGGGGGTGGAGGAGGTTGGGAGTGGGAGAGTAATTGCTATTCCCTTCAATGTGCAATTCTGAAAGGACAGAAGAGAACAAGTTACAAGATTCCAGAATGCAAGGGATATAAATCTATCTGCAGGAATGGTTGGCATGCTAGTGGGGGTACTGGAAACTCTAAAACAGTAACAGCATAGAAGGTTCATGTAAGCTATTTTAGTGACTGAGATTGAGCCCTCTGCAGCTGTTATCGTTCCTGAAGTTGCTCCATCTGTTAAGGTTTGTAGCATTACCTAATCCATTTATTGTCTTATCCAATGGATCACACACCCACAAATGGAGAGTCAATGTTGCATTCTCCAGTATGAAGTGCTTTCCTCTGCTTATGCTTGAAGGTAACCTCTATAAGCCTTGGTTGGTCACATTTCCTATTTTTACCTATTGTGTCAGAATATAAAGTCTGGTTCATCATCTCTGGTAAAACTACACAAGCCACGTATAGCCAAATATTAGGGAACAATTTAATTGGCTTCCATTTAAATTGCCCTTTAATTATCACAGTCTGATGACTGAATACTGTCCAAATAGAACCATGGAAATGTATAACATAAAAGAAGACCATAGGCATTGTTTATATGCTGATGCTTTGAAAAAGCAATTAAATCGGTCCCACTTACCTGCCTTTCCCCACTACCACCGGCAAATTACTCCTTGTTAGTTATCTCTTTATTTCCCTCTTGAATGCTAACATTGACCTTGACCACTGCATCCAGTCAGGCATTCGACTTCCTCTTTATGTAAAAACGAATCTACCGATCTCCTCTTTTGCTCTTTTGCTAATTATCTTAAATTGATGCCCTCAGCACTTTTCTATCAGTATAATGCAAGCTTCGCATTCCTTGTCTTGTGATCTTACTATCAGTACCAACATTCAACTCAGGGATGAAGATCAGAATTTTGAAGGCACAATATGATCTTTTTTGTAAAAGATTTTTGAGTCTTAGTACTTTAGCATTCCCAATCGTGTAAAACACATGAAGAAAATACCTAAAAATATTTTCATATACAATCTTACTGCATTAGAACAACAATTACAAGCACTTATATAGCGCCCTCCACACAGGGTTATATTTCAGAGTGCATCATTTATCACTCATAGCTTGAAGGACTGATGGCTTCCCACCTGGCTCCTGTTAGCTCTGCAAGCCAAAGCCCTAACTAGCAAGTGATTAACTAGGCATGCAGCAGGAACTTTATCAGATAGCGCTTTCAATGGCAAGCTGGTTGAACTCCAGCAGGGCTTCCAACACACTCTCTGGGGTCCATACGCTTTGGCTCTTGCCAACCTGTGGCTAGTACTATCCAGAATAAGCAGTGTGAGTCCCTCCAGGAAGAAAATACACATTCTGTTCCAGACATGGGCAAATTTCCATATGTAGATGCCAAACATATGTGAAACGCAGTCTGGCTTGGATATTCTTAAGCATTTTGATGGGTTTCTGGATGTGTCATAACTGGCGAACCATCACTCTTGGGTATATGAACATACCATATGTATAGAATATAGAATATGTATAGTTTCTAATGGATCTATGTCATTTATGTGATGTGTATGTTTCATGATATGTATGTTAGAGAATACATTGTATTCATTCTTATCCATGTAGCCAACAGTTGTATGCAGACTTGTAGGTTAAAGTATCTCAAAATGACTTTTTTTCCAAATGACCAGTTGAGTACTGGATGTGAAACCAGAGGTTCTATACAACAACAACAACAACAAGATTCCATTTATAGAGCGCCTTTCACGTCAGGAGGACGTCCCAATACAATGGACGTCCATATATACAATCTATATGGATCTATACAGACCTTTGTCTTTTCAAGATCAATGTGTACCACGTGTATAACATATTTTCTTTGGTAAAGAGGTAAGTGGGGTTGCCTTATGGCTGAAATTGCTCTCAAGAAATAGGTAGATTTGCTGCAATTCAAGACAATCACTGAAGTGCAGACTTGTTTTATTAAAGAGCATATTTTTAAAACCATGCTTACAAAGGGGACCTCAGTCTGAATGTCTATCTAATGTCTGATTTACCGTAGGGTTAATGCACACTCTTCTTCCCAGGATTAATTTAGTCAATCGTTTAGTATTACACAGAAATAATAGGTAATGAAATACACCTACCATGTGTTGGAATGGTGGTGGGTTATCAGTGGTCATTTAAAATATTGTTTCAACATTTTGTGTAAGGGTAATGTGTGATATGAGAAATCTACATTACCGCAATATTAATTTCATTTTGTTTTACAAGCTCTCTACCAAATTAAATATGTTAAACATGTTAGCTGAATATAATTTTCTCTTAGTCACACATCCTTATTCCTGTAGCTCAGTGGTTAGAGCACTCGCCTCACAAATGGGAGACCTGGGTTCGATTCCCGGCAGGGTGAAACCTTGGGCAAGGTTACTCCACACGCCTGATAATAATCCTTCAAAAATATATCAAATGCAAAGGTTCTATCTCCATTGTAGTAATACCTCATTAGCCACTTAATAAATTGTGAATTGTAAAACATTGAAGAGAATATACAGTCACAAAACATACAGTCAATTTACTTTATAGTATACTCTGTGAAGCACGTTGAGATGTCTCAATAACATCTGATAAAGAGCTATAATATATTGCAAGGATTATTATATTTTCACATTTCAATAATAATCCCTCCAAAACTAAAAACAATAATTAAATTGGTCATTTTCAATCTACGACTGTTTGTGGGACATTGCTGTGCGCAATTGGCTGCCGCGTTCGCCACAAATATACAGTCAATTCACTTTACAGTGTGTTCTGTGAAGCGCTTTGGGACGTCCTCCCGACGTGAAAAGCGCTATATCAAATGCAAGGATTATTATTATTATTATTATTAGGAAATGCAAAATCCTTTTTACTTATATCATTACATTTCTCCCCATGGACTTCAGATCTATTGAAGATAAGGATACAAACTCAAAATGATTAGAGTAAAGGAAGGAATTCTAATCAAATGGATGTTCAATCGAATCATGGTTCACGAATCATGGAAAAAAAAACTCAACCCAAAAAATGCATTGCATTTCTTGACCCCCCCAAAAACGACAATATTGACGCTTTTGATAATGAAAAGAAACTTAAAATGTTTTTGGAGTTGGTAATGTTAAAACAGAGGAAATAGTTCCTTGTGCATTCAAGAACACATTAGATAGAATTCTGTATACAACAATAATAATAATCCTTGCATTTGATATAGCGTTTTGCACGTCTTCTCGACGTCTCAAAGTGCTTCACAGAATAGATTGTAAAGTGAATTGACTGCATATTTGTGGGTGAAATGCAGCAGCCAATTGCACACAGCAATGTCCACAAACAGTCATGGTTTGAAAATGATCAATGTATTATTGTTTTGTTTTGCAGGGATTATTATTAGGCTCTGTGTGGAGTAAGGAAACTTGCCCAAGGTTTCGCCCTCTGCCTGGATTGAACCCAGGTCTCTCGCTTGCAAGGCGAGTGCTCTAACCACTGAGCTACAGGACTCCACAATATAATATAATATATAGTCTGAGACATGACATGTCATGCAAATGATGGTAGAAGGTGAAATGGATGGACTTGGTCTTCTTTTGCCTTCCTAATTCTTATGTTCTTACACGTTATGTATCTACCATCCATAACCCGCAAGAACTGAACGAGTAACTGGGTGATTTTGTCACTCAAAGCAGTGGTCTTTCAGCCCACAGTTAACAAGCTGAACCGGCGAAGGGGAAAAAAAAACACGCGTGCATTTTATCCTCAAAGTTATCGATGATGCTGTTGAAAGCCAAGACGAATCTAAATGTATTCGCGCGCATTTACATAAAGGAATAATATGGGTCACACTTTCTGAAGGAAAGCCATCAATTTTGTACCTTCTACACTTTGGTAATAAATTCGCCCAATCCATTTTCCTTTCCCATTATCCTGCCTATAAATGTGATGCCTTAAAGACTCCAAAACCGCCGCCGCTAATAATAGCCACACGAAGTCCTAGATTCCTGAGCAGTCAGCAAATCAGCGTTTCAGTCTGGGGATCAAATACTTCATTTTACGTTTACAAAGTGGTATCACTGTCAGAGTGCTCGCACACTGTAGTATCTCTTAGTTATTTTGTAGTGTTTCTCGTGAAATCTACTCCCCTCTGTTCTCACCCACACAGACACCCACACACACACAGACACCCACACACACAGATACCCCCCCACCCACGCACACACACACAGACACCCACACACACACACAGACACCCCCTCCCCACACACACACAGATCCCCCCCCCCACACACACACACAGACACCCCCCCCCACACACACACACAGATTCCCCCCCCCCACACACACACAGACTCCCCCCCCACACACACACACACAGACAGCCCCCCCAACACACATACACCCACACACACAGATACCCCCCCCCCACCCACACACGCACACACAGACACCCCCCTCCCCAACACACACACACAGAGATACCCCCCCCCCACACACACAGAGACACCCCCCCACACACACACACAGACACCCCCCTCCCCAACACACACACACACAGATACCCCCCACACACACACACACACAGACACCCACACACACACACAGAGACTCACACACATTGCATTTTACCAGTTATTTATCCAAAAATAGTGTTTCCTCTCCACTCCTCGTCGTGTTACTCAGGGCAGTGGTTGGCAGCTGTTCTCTCCAGCACTCTGGACAGCGATACTAATGTGTTTCATTGCATCACAGAAATTTTAGGGTGTGTTTCCTAAACATATGCCTCATTTGAACAATGTATCTTCAACCTTTACTTTAAACCTGGAGAGATTTCTATAATATGTATATATATATATATAGATAGATATATAAACACACACACACTTTTTTTTAAACACTTGTATAACTAGTGTAGGAAAATGGTGCGAACTATTCCAGGAACATGCAATTGAGGGAAATAGCAGTCAGCAATGGGAATATACTGTATCGACACCACAAGAATAGGAGGGAGGGGAACACCACACACACACACACAACATACACACACACACACACACACAACACATACACACACAACACACACACACACACACACAACACACACAAACATAACACACAAAACACACACACACAACACACACACACAACACACACACACAACACACACACACACAACACACACACAACACACACACATACACACAACACACACAAACATAACACACAAAACACACACACACAACACACACACACAACACACACACACACACACAAAACATACACACACAACACACAGACATAAACACAAAACACACACACAACACACAACACACAGACATAACACACAAAACACACACAAAACACACACAACACAAAACACAACACACACAAAGGCAACACACAGCACGAATGGGACTGACAAGAAGACTTCACAGAGATCTCCCAGTGCCAGTGCCAGTGCGCTGCTTCAGGATGGGATCTCTCTCTCTCTCTCTCTCTCCCCCTCCCCAACCCCTCCCCAACCCCCAAAATAAATTGGGTTGAGATGATTTCCTTACCTCAACAGCCTCAGTTTCCGCCATTTTCGCTGCACGCCGGAGCAGGCACCGGGACGAGTGTTTAGTTCCCATAAGATATTGCAGAGGAGAGGGTGTGGGGTCACTCCTGGAAATGGCAAAGGGTTGAAATCAATGGGAAATGTCCACCTCTCCCTCTCTCCCTCTCTCTCTCTCCCTCTCTCCACTGTTAGCTGGTCCTCTTCACCTCCATCTATCTATCTATCTATCTATCTCTCTCTCTCACTCACTCACTCACACACTCTCTCTCTCTCTCTCTCTCACTCACTCACACTCTCTCTCTCTCTCTACTTTGGTGAGATTATTTCAGGATGTTCCCCTCTGCTTTGTAGGACAATCCAAGCACTTTTTTTTTTCTCTCCCCATAGACTGGAGAGACTAACCAGAGAGAGAGAGAGAGGGGGAGGGAGAGAAAGAGAGAGAGAGGGACACACAGAGAGAGAGAGAGAGAGAAGGAGAGAAAGAGAGAGAGAGAGAGACAGAGAGAGAGGGAGAGAAAGAGATAGAGAGAGAGAGAGACACAGAGAGAGAGTGAGAGAGGGAGAGAAAGAGAGAGATAGAGAGAGAGGATTAGGATGAAGGTGATGTCTGATGTTATTCCTCTTGGGGCAAAAAGGCCATTGCAGTCCTTCTTGGCCAAAGTGTCCATTTCCTGCTCCAAATATAACTTCTTCCAATCCCATCCCACACCCCACCCCCTCCCCACCCCCTCCCAACCTCTCCCACCCCCTCCCCCCCCCCCCCCCCTCCCCCCCTCCCACCCCCTCCCACCCCTCCCACCCCTCCCCACCCCTCCCCCCCCCACCCCTCCCCACCCCCTCCCCACCTCTCCCACCCCCTCCCCACCCCCTCTCACCCCTCCCCACCCCCTCCCACCCTCTCCCTACCCCTCCCACCCTCTCCCACCCCCTCCCACCCCCTCCCACCCCCTCCCCACCTCTCCCACCCCCTCCCCACCCCTCCCCACCCCTCCCCACCCCCTCTCACCCCCCCCCACCCCCTCCCCACCCCTCCCACCCCCTCCCCACCCCTCACTGGAGATGTCCAACAGGAGGAGGAGAGCACCTGATGGGGAAGCAGTTGGTTTTGCAGTGGAAGTTAGAAGTTCAGTCCCATCCTCTGGGGGTTGGAGTCAGAGGCGATGGTACAGTTTTTTTTTAGGGGCAAATAAGTTCTCCAACGCTGTCCCCCCTCAGGTCCCTTTTTTGTGTCGCTCCGGACAAACATCTCCACCACCGGTCACAGCCCAACTAACCCGGTAACCCGGTAACCCGCTCCGCTCCGCTCCCACTGCGGGAGACCCAGAGGGCGAGGAAGGAGCGAAGCGCCACCGGTTACTGATAGCGGAGGCGCTCTCCAGGGTCCTGACATCCCCATCGCCAACCCGGAGCCATCACAGCCTGAGACTGACACCTCTACACACTCACTCACACTCACTCACACTCACTCACTCACACACTCACACTCACACTCACTCACTCACACACTCACTCACTCACTCACACTCACACTCACTCACTCACATTCACTCACTCACTCACACTCACTCACTCACACTCTCACACTCACTCACTCACACACTCACACACTCACACTCACACTCACTCACTCACACTCACTCACTCACTCACACACTCACACTCACACTCACACTCACACACTCACTCACACTCACACTCACACTCACTCACTCACACACTCACACTCACACTCACACTCACTCACTCACACTCACACTCACTCACTCACACACTCACTCACTCACTCACACTCACTCACTCACACACTCACTCACACACACACTCTCTCTCTCACACACACACACTCACACACACACACACACACACAGACACACACACACACACTCACACACACACACACACACACACACACACACACGACACACACACAGACACACACACACAGACACAGCACTGTTGTTGGCTGAACAGACTTGGATTGGGTGGAGCAGACACAGCAAAATGCATTAATCGCCTCTCTGTATTGATATGTATATTCCTCCCTCTCACTGTTAAATTGATATTAACAACGATTCCTGCAGCTCCAATCTGAAAAAAGATTTGACCCAATTATGTTAGAAACCCTTTTTTTTTGCTACATTCCAGGTTAAGGTCACCTCTGATCCTAGTATCTGATCAATCTGTTATGGGGCTCCATCCTCACTTACTTACTTACTTAGTTACTTACTTGGTTACTTACTGACTCTCTACCCTGTCAATTCCATCTGATTCATTTCCATCTGAATAGCAGGTTTCCCCCATGAGGTCGGTGTCACTGTGGGCGTGTATCTCATGGTAGAATTGACAGCAGAGGTTACACTACTATATTTTGAGAGATTTTCCAACCCCAAAAAATTGTCATTTGTGTTGGAGACCTGGGGGAGGCATTGTGAAGATGAAACTCCAGTCAATGCGAGTGTGGGTAAGTGCTTTGGTATTCAGTAATTGGGATGACGTTTTCAAATTCATTATATGTATTGAGTACATCCCACATAAGTGACATTCTGATGGTGGGTGATCAAAGTCAATCTGGTTGGTAATGTTGAGACTGGCTGTGGCTTTGACCAGCCGGCTTTATGTAACCGATAATTTCAATAATTTTATTATCGATCCAATTATTGACTCTTGCGGTTGGAGCACTCGCCTCACAAGCGAGAGACCCGGGCTCGATTCCCGGCAGGGCGAAACCTTGGACAGGTTTCCTTACTCCACACGCCTGACTAGTAGTCCCTCAAGAAAAAAAACAATAATAATTTGGTCACTTCAATCCACGACTGTTTGTGGGACACCTCTGTGCACAATTGGCTGCCGCGTTTTGCCCACAAATATACAGTCAATTCACTTTACAGTACATTCTGTGAAGAGCTTTGAGACGTCTTGAAGACGTGAAAAGTGGTATATCAAATGCAAGGATTATTATTTTTATATTATATGTGATGGGAGATGTGTTGCCCTTTTCTCAGATGTTCGTACCAATCATACCTGTCATTTCCAAATTGCTTGTTGGGGAAAAAAAGAATTGGATTACTCAATCAAATTAACAAAATGTACCATCAATGCAATGTGCTAATATGTACAACTTAGTAAAAATTCTAGACCTGTAAACCACTACCTTAACTAATCAGTCGGAGGGGATCAATTTAAAACTTTACATCCTGAAAATTGGCGATTAGTAACCTGGTTTAAAGTTCAGCAGACCTGTTTTAATGGTTATATATGAAAGGTGACATTCTGTGCATCTGATGCACGACATAAAACCAAGTTGTGAAAAGTGGGAAAATTATCAATCATCAATTTCATTTCTAATATCATTTTACATATTAAAAAAAAGCCCAGTTAATGAACTTGCCTCGAGGCGATTTTATTTGAAGCGTTAACTAATTTCGTTTTGGTTGGTTTGTGGTTTGATTGCTTTTGAACTCTGTAAGATCACAACATGAACGGACTCTTGGTATTATTGACTTCTGCCACCTCACAGATTCATCAATTGTTAATCTTGCTATATCTGACACCAGGTTTGTTTCAGTTTGGGTTAAGATTCAATCAGCGATCTAGAAGTTAATCTGACATAATTGGCACACTGCTTAGTTTTATTTTCACACATTCTGTAGAATAACACGTGCACTGTTTGGGTGAAGTGGTTTGAAAACAAGATAATAATAATAATCTTTGCATTTGATATAACCCGAAGCACGTCTTCCAGATGTTTCAAAGCGCTTCACATAATATACTGTGAATGTGTATTTTGTGAGCCAAACAAACTAACTTGTGATTCAAAACAAATAGTTCTTCGGGGCAACTCTATGTTCCCATCAGAACTGAGCAAGTGCATGAGCATTTTTGTTATTTCTACCTAAGGGGAAAAATGGCAGCAATATAAAAATCGTTTGCAATCTGTAAACTGTCAAGCAGAACTGTTCGGCTATTAATAATAATAATAAAAAGAAAAATGTTTGTAGCGGGTAATGAAGGATAGCTGAGAAAAGAGAAATAAAGAATAACTTTGCAGCTTTATTTTGAGACGTCTCAAAGCATTTGTTATGATGATTGTCAAGGAGTTGGTATGGCTGGAGAAGATTGCACAGGTAGATTTATCTGCATTAAGATTTATATTTTTAAACATACTTCCCCCTAGATGTTTCTTAGCCTATTCATTGAGTTCATTAAGACATGAATGTCTGTTAAGAAAAAATTGTCATTTTCATCCTACAACTTGTTGGAGTGCAGAATTCACAAGCAACAAATTCAGGAGTGAGTTCCTGTCACAACACATCTCTTTATTGCGTTCAATCTGCCTTTCAGTTTTTAGAGGTGATATTTAAATACTTTGATCATTTTAAAGCTGGACTAACAAAAAAAACACAAGGAATTAGGTGTGACCACTAACTCATTGTTATGTAACTGCTAATTGTGCAAAATATTTCTAGTTTCTGCCCACATCAGTATGATAATAAGAATGCTCACACATCATAATTATCATCTCATTCACCATCCAAGTTATAAACACCCACGCAGCTAAATCTTCACCACTCAAGCTATCCCTACTTGAATTTTTGACCAATGACATCCATCTAGCTGTTGTCATTTGTATCATTTGAGTTCCCATTATTCGTCCCATTAAAACCTTGACTTCCTACGTCTTAATTCATCTGCCATCACAACTAATATACCTCGCCAACCACTCCACCTTCGCTTGTTACTGCAATCATCCATATCCTCCGTAAATTGCCATATCGCTGTTTCCCCATGATTTAATCATGAATACAACCACAGAAAATCCAGTACAAAGTTGCTAATGATGATATTGATAATCCTTGCATTTGATATGTGATCTGATCACTTGCACTATGAGAACAAAATCCCTTTCACCATTTTCTCTTTTTTCTTTTGATGAACCATTACCTGCAGTGCTGCAATTTATATTGCTTCATGGCTATATGTCTGCAATAACATTAATGTGTTAACTTCTGAGAAAACTATCTAATATTTAAAAGTTTATTTATAATTTACTAGGTACATTGAACTAAAGTTTGGTTTTGAAGGGTTTACGGTTTTTTACTGACTCTCAGACAGTTTGGCAAATGTTGGGGGTTCTTCTGCGAAGTGCTTTGAGATGTCTCAATGACGTCATAAAGCGCTCTATCAAATGCAAGGATTATTAGCATTATT